GCTCCGTCTTTTTTTTTTTTTTTTTTTAAATGAGGTTTTTGCCTTGGGGCACATGTGCTCACCAGAGAGAGAGAGAGAGAGAGAGAGAGAGAGGACAGCGAGAGGGAAAGTGAGAAATCACCCCCAGGGTAGCCCTGACCACTACTGCTTTTTCTTCTTCTCTTCTTCTTCTCCTCCTCCTTCTTCTTCTTCCTCTTCCTCCTCTTTCTCCTCTTCCTCCCCTTCCTCCTCTTCCCCCTCTTCCTCCTCTTCCTCCTCCTCTTCTTATTTTTAATTTATTTTTTAGGGGCCAGCAAGTGGCATGGTAGTTAAGGCTCTGGACTCCCGCTTGGCCACCCACGGTTCCAGTACCAGATCTGGAAGCTTGAAAATCACTCTGCCACATGCGTGTGCATGCCCAAATCCTGAGAGGAGAATGGAGGAAAAGGGACTGCAGTGTGGCCATCCCCCTGGAGGGGTGATTTCTCCCTCTCTCCGGATACCACATGGCTGACTCAGCAGTAGGAGTCCTGGGCCCAGCAGCTTGAAAAACATGCTGGGCACATGCATTTCTTTTTTCTCTCTTTTGTTTTCCTTCTTTTTATTTCAATGTGTTTTGGTCTGTTTGTTTTCTACTTTCATGAGAGACAGGTACCCTCCACAGGGCCTCACCATGCTACAATTATTCCCCTCCCCATCCAGCCTCCCAGCCATCCTGGATCATGGGGGCACTAGGCATGTTCAGGCTAACTCAAGAACTGAACCCTGGGCTCCCCCTATGGCTCCAGCATCATGCAGCAGCACACCACTCACTGCCTGTGTCACTGTGCCAGGGCCCAAAGGCTCTAATTGGTGTCATGGAATGAACGGTCTATCATGTCAGCATTCCGAGTATTGCTACACTACTTTTTAAAAAAAATTTTGGTAGTTTCAGAAATGCGCAAAGAGCTAGTTTAAAATTCCTGGAACTTTCAAGGATGGGGTGTTTGCAAAGGACTCTGCTCCGCAAATCAACGAGGCCGTGCCCTTTCCCCACCTGCAGCCGAGGTGGATGAGTGGTGGCTGGCAATGCCTTCGCCTCATCTGGTTGCCTTTCCCAGCGCCTGCAGCCAGGATGACCAACTCACCCAGCTGGCCCAGGGATGAGGGAATTTCCATTTAAAACCAGGACAGTCTTAGGCACCCTGGGACAAGTGTCCACCCTGCTTGCACCCTCGTTTGCACTGGCATGGAAGTCCTCCCACTGCTGAGCTCCACGCCCAGGTGAGAGCCCACGTCTCCAGACAGACACGGTGTTTTGAACCCAGTGCGGAGGATGGTCTCTGAGGCGAGCTGCACAGGGTGAAATGAGCAGAAGTGGTAGAGTTATCGACAACTTGGTGCTTTTCTCCTCACAGGGGAAGAGGATGAGGAGGAGCCCGAGATGCCTGTCGGTCCCCGCCCACGGCCACTCTCTGAGCTGCACCTGAAGGAGAAGGCAGTGCCCATGCCTGAAGCCAGCGCGTTTTTCATCTTCAGCCCCAACAACAGGTGTGTGAGAATGATGGGACACGGGACCCTGCTCTCTCACTGCCACATGCCCAGCAGGTGCCTGATCTACCCAAACCCCTGATGAGCTGGAGTGACCCAACTCCCCACAACTTGTGTAAATGGCTGCAAATTTAAGCAAGAAAGCTCTGGATTCTGACTCAGAAGAGCTGCACTTATTTTTCTCTCCACTTTTTACAACATGTAAACCCTGTTTTTATCCTTTTGGTGATCACCCTTGGTAATTTACTAAGTCTGCCTAACACAACAGAAACACAAAGTTAAGCAATGCCTTAGGCTTCTTGTACAATAAGACTTTAGACTGTTTAAAATCACTTATTCCCTCCTGATTTACATGCTAATATTGATTAATATTTTATTAATAGCTCTGACTTTCTTTTTAAATTAGGCATTTTTGTCACTATTATTACTGTCATATATTGAATAGATGGCCCATCCTTGAGTTTTTTATTGTTCACCATTTCTTATGCTTCTCAGGCAATCCTTCTGAAAACATTTTCTTTCTTCTGCAGATATATCCTTTTTTTGGGGGGGGAGAGGTTTTTGCTACAGGGCGCATGTGCTCACCAGACAGACAGAGAAAGACAGAGAGACAGAAAGCGAGAAATCACCCCCTCGGGGGGATGGCCACACCACAATCCCTTCTCCTCCATTCTCCTCTCTGGATCTTGGGCATGCACGCACACATGCCCGGCGTGAGTTTAAGCTGCTGGGTCTGGGACTCAAACCGCGGTCGAGTACATGGGAGTCCAGCGACATAGTCATTACGCCAACTGCTGGTCCCTCCACAGACATACTCTTTAGAAATTCCTTCTTTAGTTCCTTTATGCTAAATTCATTTGGCCTCTGTTTATCTATAATTGTTTTTATTTCCCATTCTTACAAGGTAGTTTTATTTAGTTTTGTTTTGTTTTGTTTTGTTTTTGAGAGGTTTTTGCTATAGGGCATGTGCACTCACCAGAAAGACAGAGAGACAGAAAGCCAGAACTCACCCCCTCAGGGGGGTTGGCTATGCCGCAATCCCTTCTCCTCCATTCTCCTCTTGGGATCCTGGGCACGCATGCATACGCACTCGGTGTGAGTTTAACCCACCAAGTCTGGGACTCTAACTGTCGTCGACCTCATGGGAGTCCAGTGACATAGTTATTACACCATCTGCTGGTCCCCTTACAAGATAGTTTTGCTATGAACACTGTTCTAGAAAGTTTTTGTCCCTCAACACATTAATGTTATCATGCCACCACAAAGTGAGCTGTCACTCCAACTATCATTCATTGACCCTTTATTTCCACCTGCTTTTAACATCTTCTATTGCCCTTGGTGAAGATTTACATCCATCCATGTGTCTAGGCATGTATTTCTTTCCATTTATCTTGCATGGGGTATGTACTTCCTAGGTCTATGGGTTTATATTTTTCTTTAGTTCTTGAAAATTTGCAACCATAATCTTTAAATATCACTTCTCCTTAATTCTCTTTGTCTTCCTTCTGACACTCTAATGAGACGTATGCTGGACATCTTGTTCTGTCCTCCCTGTCTCTTAATGTATCTTGCATATCTTTCCTCTCCTTGTCTCTCTGTTTTCTGGGTGATTTCTTTAGATATATCTTTCAATTTTTTAATTCTTTTTTTGACTTTATCTATATTGTCATTTAAACCACTTTTTTTGTTTGTTTTGGCTATAGGGTACATGCGCACAGCAGAGAAAGAGAAATCACCCCCCGGCATGGATGGACATGCTGCAATCCCTTCTCCTCATTCTCCTCCTC